GTTTCATTTTGTTCTGTTTTTGAGTCACTGAAACATTCACGATTCAAAATTAAAAGAGCAAATACAGGTACACTCTGAAAAATGCTCTTTCTTGGCCAATTTCTGTCCTCCAGCCACTTAGTTCTATGCCTTGGAGCTAATTAATGTTACCAAATGTCTTTCTTGTTTTTTAGGCACATCTGACTCTTCCTGCATTTTTCTCCATGTGAGAATCAAGGAAGAAAGGGCTTCCTGACTCTGACATGTGACATCCCTACAGGATGATCCCCCTGCACAGACTGAGTGGAAGACAATCCCAAGAAGTTAAGAACAGGTTTTCCTTGAAACAGCAGACATCTGCCAGTACTTGATGCACTATTCTGCATTTCACTGGCCAGACAGTTAAATGTCTTGCCAAAGACTTTGCAAATAACAAGTGATAACTTCCTGTGTAGGTGAATATGGCTATTTCCTGCCTCTGACCACTTTCTTGAGATGTTCGCACAACTGCCTCTTTGTTCCTTGATAGTGACATGGAGAGCTTTTTTGCTGCAATCAATTAGTGTTCCTGTTTATAACACATGCCTATCCACATACTGACCTGCACATGTATTCTTCATTTGTGTGCATGTGTATGTGTATATTATTCTACAACTGAAACTACTAGCTCCTCAAAGGCAGGATCCTAATACCTAAACCCTTTATAGCTTTGCTGTCTCAAATTCAGGGATTTCACTTCATTTATTTATTTTTTTTCCATATTGCTTGGTAACCTTAGAAATAGGTTTTGTTTTTCATTTGAAATATCTCTGAAGTGTGTTCTGGGTAGCTCCTGCAGGGATATGGTATCAGCATGAGATATTGTTTCCTCATTAAGCTATATATGTTTCTAGAAAGACAAGAATTATATGTGTTAAACAGGTATAATATTTAATAAAGTGCTAAATTAACATGGTTTTGAGGGGAACAGGGTTGAAACAATTGATTATCTCAGTTTTCTCTAAGGGTGAGTTAAATTTTATTCATTTCTAAATTTTCTAATTTCCCCTTGACTCTTCAGAATTTAGTTGTGTTTATTTACAGAAACAAGACCCATGCTTTCTCTTCTTCTTGGAACTCTTTCATAATCTGTTCAGTAATGCCTTTTTCATTCCTAAGATCTCACTCAACCTGGGTAACTATACCCAAATAGGACATTCTAAATAGGGCTTTCCTTAGGAGGAAATAAGGCAGTTCTATTAAATTCGTTACACCGAGGCAACTTGAAGCTATGTATTCTTAGACATGTTCTGGACAATGGGCAGCTCCAGTATGTGCTACCACAAGGGCTGGGAGGTGATGGCCCCTGGCAGGTCTCCCCTGAGCTTTGACAGTTTGGGGAAGGGGATCTATAAGTGACCTTGAACACAGCACATGGCAGTAAAGTCCTGTAGGATTTCCCAAGGTTAAACTGGGAACTAGATGGGATGACGAATTAAATATTTGGCTTTTTAAAAGCTGCAGCATAGCTTTTCCTAAATACAGATTTTCTCTCCATTCCTGGCAATAAAATAATTTTGTAGATTGACTGATTTCTTAAATTCCCTGTTAGGGTGAAGAAAGATGAAGGAATATATCTTACTCATGTCTGTGGACTTTTATTATAATAAGAGTCATTGTTAAAAAAAAAAAAAAAGCTTTTACCTTTAGACAATAACAAAAATCTACCCAAGATTATCCGTTTTGCAAAATTAATCTGAAATGTGTTTTACTTTAAACCCAGAGTAACATTATCAGTAGATTTTCATAGTGAAGAAATTACCATGGCCCATTTATGACAGATCTTTTAGATGATATTTAAAAACATGCAGCAGGTGAAATATTTGACAAGCCCAGGTTATCACCTCCAAGAATCCAACTCAGTGCAGGAAAGATTGGGCTAAGAGGGATGCCAGAGTCAAAACTCTGACTCCCACTGGAAAAATAGAAGCAAAGTTTGGTGTAAGATTTATTTTAAATACTACTACTGGTAGAGAAAAATTATACAGCATATATGCAAATATCTTTGCAAATTTAAATGGAAATGACAGCATTGGGTTAGTCCTGCAGAGGGGTATGTCAGAGTTGGACTTCCCAATTTAGAAGTTTTTCCCTCAGTGACATTACTCTCAGGTTTTTGTTATAGGCATAAACTGAAAAGGAAATTCACCAGCTGGCTAACTATTCAACAAAGCTGCAGATGGAGTATTACTAGTGTGTTAAGGCCACGCTAGGTCCAAGTTTAGACCTCAGATTCTGAGAAATGAGTTCACACTAGCCCAAGAAAATTAATAATCATTCATATAGGGAAATCAGATTTCAAAGGGAACTAGACTTTTTGTGCTAACTGGTCAACCCGCTCTATCTGAGAAACCAAAGTTTATAAAGTTTTTAAGTAGACAATCTGAGCAAAGGGAGGTAAATGATGATAAAATGTATCATCAGACTTTGAAATCCTGCTGTTAACTTTTTTCTAATACCTCTGTGAAGTGACTAGATTAATCAGATAAGTAAGTAAAAACGTCCTGGCATCCCTTTCTCTAGAGGGCAGGAGACACAAGGATACATCATGTAGACTGAAAATTCACATAGTCTGAGGATGCCTGGGAGTCTCTGTAGCTCTTCCCTAGTGTCCATGAGTTACAATTGTTTGCACAATAATACTAAGATGTTATTTCCTTTCTCATTCTTCTCAAGTAGTCTCTGGAAAACTTTCCAAGTACAGTGGCGTTTTCCAGTGGTCACATGACATGTAATAATGCCATCACTCTGACCGCTGATTGGAAATGTTTAAAAAGTTTTTCCATTTTAATTTCTAATACAATAAATAGTTATTTAGCATTTTCAGTATTTCAGAGTGTAAAATTTCCTAAGACCAAAAGTTTGAGAACCATTGATATAGATCATCCTTTTCTGTCATCATACTACCAAACAACATGATGAGTTTTTTTGCTTTAAAAGATTTTAGAAATGTCCTAGTACTATGGATGAAGCCATCTTGATGATATTTAGGAAGCATTCTACCTTGCTAGCTACATAATATTCAGATAACCTCAAAAGCTCCAAGTAATTGTGAATAGGGCATATATCCTCCATAATGTATGGGTACTGTTCTGCCCAATCTTTTCACTGGACATGTTAATCTGCAGCAACAACAAAGGAAGGAAACACTGTTACCTGGGATGTGCCTTTCCTTTGACAATATCTGAAATGGGATAAAAATTCAAGGGCACTGTTTTTGGAGTTCTTAAACTCCAACTGAACTGAAACCAAGAATCATAGCCTACCGGTAATTCAGGACAATCAAGCAAGTTTTTCTGTTTTTGTTTGTCTATTTGTGTGTGTGTGTATGCAAGAAGTGAGGCCAACTTAGGGATAAGGCCATTTGTTTGAGATTTTTGAAGTCCACTCTTCAAATAAAGTCACAGACATTCTAGAAGGGCTTCAGAGGGAGGCCGAGGCGGGTGGATCACGAGGTCGAGAGATCGAGACCATCCTGGTCAACGTGGTGAAACCCCGTCTCTACTAAAAATACAAAAAATTAGCTGGGCATGGTGGCACATGCCTGTAATCCGCGGTGAGCCGAGATCGCGCCATTGCACTCCAGCCTGGGTAACAAGAGCAAAACTCCGTCTCAAAAAAAAAAAAGAAGGGCTTCAGAGACTCCCAGGGGTCTCCCTTCTACACGATGTACCCTTGTATCTCCAGCCCTCTAGGGAAAGAGATGTCAGGATGTTTTTACTCACTTATCTGGTTAATCTAGTCACTTGAGAGAGGTATTAGAAAAAGGTCAACAGCAGGTTTTCAAAGTCTGATGATGCTAATTTTTCAAATACAGTCAGGCACAGGTTGGTTTTCACATATTGATCCAGTTTCCATTTAGTCAAGATTTTGAGATATGACAAGACCATTGCTTCCTAAAGAACAGAGATGTTCTTTTTATATATAACCCTTCCCCCAGAAGCTGGACATGAAACATATATGCCCACAAATATAATATTTGCCGGCCTAGAGTTTTCTTTCATCTCCCTCACATTGCAGATGGACACATAGACTGGGACAAATCTAGAGGCACACATCTTCCAAGCAAAGTAATCAAACTACATAATACATGCCCTCGGTATCGTTTTCACTGAGCAAAGATTAGCTGAACTTTTACTATCACTAAAGGAGGTGATGTGAGGAGGGCAAGGCAAGGCAAGGTTCCTGTGCTTCAGGGTTGCAACAACAAATGCCTTGCCATTTTCCAGTCACTGCATCACAGTATCCTCTGCCATCATCCAGAGTTAACCAACAGAGATAAGGCCAGAGGACGACTTCTCTTTTTCTCATTTACACTTTTTATTTTTTACTATTTATTTTTGTAGGCATGAGGGTCTCCCTTTGTTACCCAGGCTGGTCTTGAACTCTTGGCCTCAAGTGATCCTCCTGCCTCAGCCTCCCAAAGCACTGTGACTACTGGGTCGAGCCATTGTGCCCAGCCCTACATCTTTATTCTTTTTTTTTTTTTTTTTTTTTCTGTTGTTGTTGTTGTTTTTGAGATGGAGTCTCACTCTGTTGCCCAGGTTAGAGTGCAGTGGTGTGATCTTGGCTCACTGCAACCTCTGCCTTCTGGGTTCAAGTGATTCTCCTGCCTCCGCCTCTGGAGTAGCTGGTATTACAGGTACCCACTACCATGCCTGGCTAATTTTTGTAGTTTTAGTAGAAACGAGTTTTCACCATGTTGGCCAGGCTGGTCTTGAACTCTTGACTTCAGGTGATCTGTCCGCCTTGACCTCCCAAAGTGCTGGGATTACAGGTATAAGCTACCACGTCCAGCCCACTCCTTTATTCTTAATAAGCTGAATTCATAAGGGATTTCATGGAGCCATCTCTGGCCCGTCCTGAAGAAACAGCTAAAAACAGTTTTCACAGAAAACTTGTGATTTAGAAATAGAGGATGTTTTCTGCTTTAACATAGAGAGGAAACCTTAACAAAATTAAATGAGACAGTTACCATGTTCCATTTTCATCAACAAATCTTTAAAATCATGTAAATTAAACCAGTTTGTCTTTAGGAAAGCGAGAGAGAAACTAGAGGTGAGGGCTAGAATACCAGCAACTCTTAGGAAGGCAAACTTGAATCATCTTTTTGGAGAGGAAAGAAAATTGTGAGGAAAAGGTGCCAGTGTCAAAGATGATGAACTGGGAGCTGATAAACTCCTACCACTCACTGCCTCATGGTCTTGCCCATTGGTTTCTTTCTGACAAGGAAGAATGTCGTCTTTCCTGCAGGGTTTTGTAGGCTTCTGACAGTAATCCGTGGAAGACGGCTGTCCTGGGGCCCAGAATGGGCAGTCTGTAGTGAATGTTCTCTGGATGACATACAAGAAGGAAGGAAGGACAAGGACTATTTAGATTCTATTCTTAAAGAAATGGAAAATAACCACAGGCCAACAAAGACTTCTTCAACCTTATAAAACAGATTCAAAATTCACCTAATAATTTGTTTTCCAAATCCACCTTTTATTTTTTCTTATAAAAAGGAAAAAAAGAAAATGCAACAAAAAAATTCCCCTAAGAATTTCTTTTAATAAAATTGTCTTTTCCTCCACAACATTTAAACTTTTACAAATCTTGTCAATGGGACTAAAAGGAGTATCCAAAACCCAAACTCAAGTATTAGACATCATTACCAATTAAATGAAAAATGAAGATAAAACATGTCTGGTGTTATCATATGAGTCAAAGAGAAAAGAGGATTCAATTATCAGGAGACTTTTCAAGGACACATATATAGTTCTGTTCTTTAAAAAAATAAAAATAATAAACATGATCTTAACAAAAAGGCTACAGTAAGAAGAGAAAGTACTTGCATTTCAAAAGAAATCTGTATTTTGTGAAATAATATATTTTAGGGGTTCTTTAAAATCCTGACCTTACCTCTTCTTCAAATATGATTTATTAGAAGTTGATTAATATTCACTTTTTCCAGAAGACAGATTACTTGAAGTGGGGTAAAACAGTGCGAGAAATAACAGCTTCCCACTGGGATTCACTGAGTGACTAAGAGAATTGGAACACTTAATTCTCTGGAAAAAGCTCCAGAGAACAAGGTCCAAGTGAATGAGGGGTAGAGACGTTACATGATCGCAGACCTTGGATCCAGTTCAGTCTCATCACTGTAATGAAGATGGAACAGCAGTCCAAGGTCACAGGCACTAATGGACTAAGAACCAGAACCCAGATATCCTTAATCCTAACCCAGTGAGTGCTCTTTGTGTTGTATCATACCACTGTGTGGCCAGGTGGTAGGCCCACATTAGGTGGTTAGCATCTGTACTAATGTTTATTGAGATTAAGAGCCCACGGGTGTCAAGGGATTCATGAACCCAGAAGGAATCCCCATCACTTGTAAAGATAATTTCTTTCTATTTTCTTGTTGTCATTAAGAATTATTGATAATATTTAAGGATAAGCAGAATCCAGAAAAAATGCTAGCAATCATTGCTGTGACCAACAGATGAATTGGCCAATCAAAGGCGGTAATGTTGTTCACTGGGATGAGTCAGCCACTTAGTATTTGTAGCAGTCCACAGGGAACACAGCACAGGTGGCGGGTGGCTTCAGCAATAAGCAGCAAGTACCACAGTATGAACATGTCTAAGCTGCATAAATGAGCAGGGCTAAGGCAGTGTCAGCAATTTTCCTGGATCAGTCAAAGGTGAAGGCCACTTGTGCTGAAGGTCTAGCTTTCAATGGGACAAAATGCTACTCTGGTTTTACAGGTGGGAACACAGAGGCCAAGCCTATACAGCAAGACTAGGATTCCTACCCAGGTCTCCTCACTTCTAGGCTAGTGCTTTTTTCATGACCTCTAAGAGCACATACAAGAGCGAAGTCAGCTCAGAAGGGTCACGACTATAACAAACAGTAGATCTACCAAGTTTCAGCTCCTAGCCAGTTTTACAACTACTCTCCCTATAGTCCCACCTCTGAGATTACTGTCCTGGGATGAACTGTATGGACAAGAACCAGGGCTATCCAAACACATAACATGCTCTTCCTAGATGCTATGCAAAATCTAGCTCTTTAATTGTGAATTGAAGTACACCTCACAGATAATAAATTGATCAAAGGCATATTATTACATTGTTCTCTAGGATCACAAAATATATTTTTGCTGAGGGAAAGGCGGACAATGGTATGTCTCTCTCTCTCTCTCTCTCTCTCTCTCTCTCTCTCTCTCTTTCTCTCTCTCTCTGTGTGTGTGTGTGCACGCCTGTGTGTGTGTGTGATTCAATCCTTTGCAAGGCAAAGGATTAAAAAAATCCAGGTCCAAAGGAAACTGAGAATGAGGGTGTAGCTGGCACCGATAACTATGAGATCAACTGCACATGCTTATCACCCATGTTCTCTTGGCTTCAAAAGAATGAGGTGGTCATAGGCCAGGGAACAGCAGAGTGGGGAGCTTTTATTGGGTGGGTACTCTTAGCTGCAGGCTCTTGGTTCCACTTTGGCTAAGTTAGAGCCATAAACTAGGCTAATATTTTTGGATACATAAGAAGCAATTCATTAGGACTGAAAGATTTTCACTCCACTAGAGTGGCTATCCCCAAACCTCAGCTGTTATCTGAGTTTCTGGTCCTCCCATTTGGCATCCCCTCAAGACATCCCTTCAATCCTCAAATTTCCTTTCTACATGTCTCTTCCGTTCTGGCCCTAGTCCCCCAGCAACCTCCTAGGATAAAGCTTAGACTTTTCCATATGTATAGAGTGAGGAAAGTGATTCTAATTTTCTTTACCTTATATATCAAATGAAAAAAAAAGTTCAAATGGCTTCAATTAATATGGGAGCAAATGAGAAGATGGACAAGGTCACTAAAGTGACAGCCCGTGCTGCAGTAAGCCCTTGAATTATATTGCCCCAAATAATGGCTCATTCTACCTTCACCAGCCCAGTATTGTCTTAACTAAAAGCTGAGACTTAGGTCAATGCTGAAACCTGAAACAGAGCTGCTTCCCTTGTTTCTATCAACAGCAAGTGAAGATAAGAATAGCACTGGCAGCTGCTGGGAGAAGGCAGGTATTTTAGGGATCTGGTGGGGTGAAGGGTTCAGGGCCTTGGTGAGGCCACTCTGAGGGTGCAGAGATGCCGTTCCCTTTCCAGTTTGATTGGCACCATCAGGACTGACTATAGGGAAACGTTTATTTCATTTGTACTCCATCTCCACGGAAAGTCTTCAGCCATGTGCTGGGGACAGAGCCTGGAAGGAACATGACATGGATAAGGGCAAGTGATGCCTGAGGAGGCCACAGGTGGGGCTGGAGTGAAAGAAGGGCTGTGAACCAATCCCAGTAGGTCAAAAGACAATACGTGAAAGAGGAAGGGATAGAAAGTGAGCATTTGCTCAGGAAATTTAGAACTTATTTTAGGGATTAGACTTTCATTCTACAGCATTTTTTTCATAGTATATTTCACACTGTAAGTACTCTAAAAAAGCAAACCTGTTGGGATGTCATCATGGAAAGGCTCAGGTATAGTCTGGACTTTGGGCTGACGAAGACTCATCATTCTGATTAGAAGAAACATGAAAACACATTAGTTAATTGGCTAGGACTTGGTAGGAAGAAATGTGTCTTTACACATTATTTATTTATTTATGAGATGGCATTTTTGCTCTTGTTGCCCAGGCTAGAGTGCAATGGTGTGACCTCAGCTCACTGCAACCTCTGCCTCCCGGGTTCAAGTGATTCTCCTGCCTCAGCCTCCTGAGTAGCTGGGATTACAGGCACATACCACCATACCTGGCTAATTTTTGTACTATCAGTAGAGATGCGGTTTTACCATGTTGGCCAGGCTGGTTTAAAACTCCTGACTTGAGGTGATCTGCTCGCCTCAGCATCCCAAAGTGCTGGGATTACAGGTGTGAGCCACCATACCAGGCCTCTTTATACATTTTTAAACACACATGATTTCTTGAATCCAGCACTTGTTAACCTGGTGATCAGGCCACTTTCTAGTAGTGTGAGACGATTAGTCCAAAGACCACTCATTCTCAACCTTTTGCTTAGTGTTGTTTTCGTGGATTTTGATAAAACCTTCATTTTGAATGTTTTATTCTACTGTCAGAACATATGTGGTCTGAAAATAGAAGGAATAAAGGAAAGAGTCCTCTAACTTCCAGAAAAATATAACACTCTTCCAGATCAATAATCTGCCCTTAAAGAGTAAAGCTGAAAAGGATTTCACTTAGAACCTTTCCATTTCAGAGAAAATGCTCTGAACACATCCTGTTTCTCCTGGTGGCCAAAGCTGTGGAGGGGACCCTTGAGCAAAGTACATATAAGCCAAAACCACTTCTACATTAGTTTAAATTGCTTAATTTCTAAAGACTGACACATCTGTAAACTTTAATGGGCTATCCAAGGCTCTACATTCATGTCATGGTTTCTACTTCCACAAAGATCTTCCATGATTATTCTTGCTTTGCTACCAAAAATATAGCAAGCTCAGCCAGTTTGCTTTAATCAATTATCACTGAGATTGAGAAAAAAAAGAAAGCAAAATGCCTTCTATGACCCATTTTGGGCAAACAGGCAGATGGTATGTTCAGGGCTGAACAGTTTAAGATCTGTCTATTCTTTTTTTTTTTTTTAATTTTTTTAAGATGGGTTTTTGCTCTTGTTGCCCAGGCTGGAGAGGAATGGGACCATCTTGGCTCACTGCGCCTCTACCTCTTGGGTTCAAGCGATTCTCCTGCCTCAGCTTCCTGAGTAGCCGGGATTACAGGTTCTCGCCACAATGCCCGGCTAATTTTGTATTTTTAGTAGAGACAGGGTTTCTCCATGTTGGTCAGGCTGGTCTCGAACTCCCGACCTCAGGTGATCTGCCCACCTCAGCCTCCCAAAGTGCTGGGATTACAGGTGTGAGCCACTGTGCCTGGCCAAGATCTATCTATTCTACAATTCAACAATTATGTATCTATCTTCCCATCTTTTCTCCCTCTCTTCCTTTTTTCCTTCATTCTTTTCATTCAATAAGTATTATATTTTAATTCCTGCAATGGCTGCAAAGTCACTTTTTAAAAACCCTTGATTTCGGTGAAGATAATTCTACTTGCCTACATATGCAGTGATACTTAAAAACTATGAAAACAGATTTTAAAAGCTACAGACAGAACCAGGCCCTTGCTTTATAGCCACTTTAGCTCAAACAGAAGTGGTATGTTTTCCTTCATAACGCTGAAGAAAAGAATACAGCAATCAATCTCATGATATGTCTGGTTGCTATTGACATGATTTTACGATTGGCTCAATCATTGGTCTTAGTTTTAAAGGGATAAGAGCTCATTGTTTAGAATATAACTAATTAATGTTCTGGGATTTTGTACTTTAAAGTATAAAACTTGCAAGATAAGTAAAATGGGGCAACAAATTTCAAAAGGTTATTTTGCATAAGAGTGAATTTTGCTCAGAAATTTCTGATTTTAGATGGTACAGTTTTTACATTTAAAGTTCATAATGAATATTTATTTATTAGAATTACTTTAACCATATAAGCACTGTTTAAAAGTATAGCATCAGTATAGCTCAACGTTATTAGTGATGGAGCTGGTACTGCTCAAATAGCCACTTCCATTATAACCTTGTGGGCTACCACGGCCCAGGAACTGGGTACATGTTTTCAGTGTATCTGGAACAAATGGCCCTAAGGTCATAAAAGGAATCAGAACATGTATCACTGTTCAACATAAGGTTATAAAAAAAAAGTATTTATTTTTCCACATTATTGCTCTCTGTACCAGGAAAAAAAATTAAAATTGCCATTAGATTACATATAGCTTTTTTGGTTAGTCACATGTAAGGGTGAGTGTGTGTCCACTTTCCAACCATCTATTGCAATGCAATTTGACCTGTATTGATGTCTTATTCAGAATGAGTCCATGTTTTGCGATTTTTTTTTTTTAGATGGAGTTTCACTCCTCCCTGGAGTGCAATGACGTGATCTTGGCTCACTGCAACCTCCACCTCCTGGGTTCAAGTGATTCTCCTGCCTCAGCCTCCCAAGTAGCTGGAATTACAGGGGCCTGCCACCATGCCCAGCTAATTTTTGTATTTTTACTAGACTTGGGGTTTCACCATATTGGCCAGGCTGGTCTTGAACTGCTGACCTCAGGTGATACACCTGCCTTGGCCTCCCAAAGTGCTAGGATTATAGGCGTCAGCCACTGTGCCTGGCCTGTTTTGCATGTTTTAATAAAGTAAAAACAGAGTTCTTCTTCCCTGCCTGATAGTTAAATATAGCAGGAAAAAAATCTTTGAAAAACCATGCAGGGCATGGTGGCTCACGCCTGTAATCACAGCACTTTGGGAGGCCAAAGCAAGAGGATCACCAGAGGTTCAGGAGTTTGAGACCAGCCTGGCCAAAATGGTTAAACCCCATCTCTACTAAGAAAAAAAAATTAGCCGGGCATGATGGTGGGCACCTGCAATCCCAGCTACTTGGGAGGTTGAGACAGGAGAATTGCTTAAACCTGGGAGGCAAAGATTGCAGTGAGCCAAGATTGCACCACTGTACTCTAGCCTGGGTGACAGAGAGAGACTCCATCTCAATAACAACAACAACTAATCAGAATTCCAACTGGATTTTGTATCTGTTATACTCTATCTTGATTTTTAAAAAAGCTTTAAATAACAACCAAACAAACTGATAAGAGGAATTTTAGTTAATAGAACATAGCAGAGAGTATCTTGGACTAAGGAGAGATTATGTGTTATCTCCCATATCTTGCAAATTAGATATGTCATCTATATGGTCAATTTGTATTTAGTTCCACCTGAATTATCAAAGAAATTTCCTATCATATTTCTTATATTGTTCTTGTGAAGGTGGAAAGGAAGATTATACTTTCCACAGTAGTTTCAGTAGTTGTTCAAACAAAAAGGTGAACTTTCTTTTTTGATCAAATGATTTGGTTTAACCGGGAAATAAAACCAGTCAAGAAGCCTGTTCCCTAAGCAGGCCTTAAACATTCCTCTTACTATGCTTCTCAATCCACTCTCCTGTGTCCTCAAACCAATATAACCAGAATTAAAGTCATGTCCTGATTTAAATTGTTGACTTACCTATGACTCATAAAATTCTCAAAGGATACTTTTGGATCATCTAGGATTTTCATTGTTCTTGGTTGTACCTCAAGAAGAAAGTCTCATTTAGAACGTTGCCTATAATTGCATTCTTATTTAAATAAATAAAGTACCACTTTAGCAAACTTGAGTTGTATTTGATATCAAAGTCATTCATATATCCTTTTGTGATATGAATGAACCAGAGGGTTTCACCCTTCCCTCAAGTCAGAGTCTTTGTTCTTCCCTGGATATCAGTTGAAATTAGATACCCAGATTTAGTAAATCTTTAGAATCTGTTTGTTTAGAGGCCCCCACTCCTACCACACACATTCTCCAGGTCTCAGGTTAACTATCACTTTCCCACAGAGACTACTGACTCCTGGAGTACTATTTGGTAGTTCCCGGTGCTATGTTCTTAGGGCCTCCAGTATCAAAATACTCATAACCTTTATATTGCATTTATTTGCATAATGTCTGGCTTCCCTGACAGACTTTCAGCTTAGACCTTGTCTCTGTTTCTGTATTTCCAGCTGCTAACACGATGTCTAAGAAATATTTTTGATCACAGTAGTGAATGAATGAACCCACCCTGAAGCACACTTGGAATTTTAAAGGTGTCCTTTATACAGACCTAAAATCAATGTACAGTTACAGTATTTTTTGTTAAGAAACATAACTTTCTTGAACTTTTCCAAATTTGTTCCTAGAACTAGATGTTGGTTTTCTTTTAAGAATGTTTTCACTAGGAAGCATTTTTCCATTATTTCTCAAAAATTATTGTAGCTATAATAATAAAATGATAATCACAAAGATGTAGGTGCAGGTGTTCAACTACTTTACTCACTAAGTGACTTGTACCAGGTGACTCATGATTTAAGTTTATGACATAAAAAAGTTACAAATTACGGTGAATCAAGGACCTTTAGATGTGCTTGAAAATAGCAAAAAACTGAACACAAAGGCTATATAAATGCCAAAAATGTACTGTGTTTAACCAGCTTGTTCTCCTAACTCATTAGCTGAAGAAAGGATGAAAGAGGAAGAAGAAGGAAATGACCCGGTAACAAGGAACTTCTGGGCATTGCGGGGGCAGCCGAGGCTTTGGTGTGAACCTGAGGCGAGGTTTCTAAATAGAAAAGGGGATGAGAATGTGCCAGAGACAGACTGCTTTATTCAAAAATTTATCTAAAGTTGACCCTGCTCCAACGAAAGATGCAGGAAACTCTCTACCTCCTCCTAAATAGCATGATTCCTGTTCTAAATCCCCTAAATCCAGCTAGTGCTCTTACATGAATGAACTGCACCACAGTGGTTCCATCAGAGCAAAGCTGCCTGCAAAGACAGCATTTTGTTTGTGAGAAAAAGTATACTGTGGTGGACTCCTATTCATTCTGGAAAACCCGAAATACTCTTTTTTTTTTTCAAGGAAGACTTTCTTGATATTTACTTTTGCTGCCCCTTCACTTCCCATCAGATCTATTTCTATTGATTACATTCTGTTGTCATTATTTACTTATTTGTTGACTCTTTAAAGGCAGGATTTACGTCTTCTTTCTTCCTTTTCTTTTCTTTTCTTTTCTTTCTGTCTCTTTCTTTCTTTCTTTCTTTCTTTCTTTCTTTCTTTGTTTTCTATGTAGCTTACCTAAGTACTTGGGCCATGGCAGACAATCAATAAATGTTTGTTGAAATCAACTTAATTTATCTTAAAACAATTTTTATATAGGTTAGAGAATGTCTGTTTACAGTATGTCTAGCTTGACAGTCCTACTTTTAAGGGCTTGAAAGCGTTAATTAGAGAGCAGTGCAGATAACAGGACTACAAAATCGGTGCATTAAGGGGAAGACGAGCTGTTTGGAGCACACATGACAAAACACAGCCTAGATAAAACCAAGGCAAATATCCCTGGTGACTCACAACCGTAACTGTCAGTAGGTATTTCTTCTGCACGGAATGGTTGAACTTCTGGCCCAAGGTTATACAGGAACATGAGTAATTACATAACCAGGTCCTGTTTACATTTTTTGAGATTCATCTATTTTGTGCTTTTATTTATCTAGTGCTAAATTCTTTTTTATTTTATTTTAAATTTTTTAATTTAATATATATATTTTTTTGAGATGGAGTCTCGCTCTGTCACCTAGGCTGGAGTGAATGGCACCATCTCGGCTCACTGCAACCTCCACTTCCCGGGTTCAAGGAATTCTCCTGCCTCAGCCTCCCGAGTAGCTGGGACTAGGACTACAGGTGTGCACCACCATGCCCAGCTAATTTTTTTTTTTTTTTTTTTTGTATTTTTAGTAGAGACGGGGTTTCACCATGTTGACCAGAATGGTCTCGATCTCTTGACCTCGTGATCCACCCACCTCGGCCTCCCAAAGTGCTGGGATTACAGACGTGAGCCACTGCGCCCGGCCTCGTGTTTATTTTCTAAGTTTCTGTAGTTTCCCACCAGATTCTGACAGCAGTAGAAAAGGGTCCCTGGGCACTTTTATGCTCGAAGCCCCTCCTTCTAGAAGCTGCGATAAACGATAAAATTACAGCCTGTGGCCCCACTTCTATCTTTCCTGGAAAAGGGCAAAGGTCAGAGAAGAGATCTTGAGAAAGAGGACGCTGCTGACATCCCAAGTGTGCCACCTGGCCAAGGCCAGCTTAGGCCTGGGATGGGTGCATTCTCAATGTGGACACAAGAGCTTCCAGGAATAAGACCAGGAGAAATACCAATCCCAGTTTTCCAGACTTCAGCCAATGCTAATATTTAACCCAGTGATCATAGTTGTGTGAAAAATGAACACAGACGGCAACATCCAGGTGCAGCTTTGCCAGTAGCTTCAGTAAATTTCTAAATCCCACATAAAAATTTCACGAAACTGCCACTCTTTCACATCCGACTAGCCTGAAGACTTGCCATGAACTCAGTGGCTAAGAGGAGCCTCTCTTACAGCTTCTATTTTTTGTTCCATTCTTTGCCCTTCGTTTTAAGCACACTTAGCCTACACATTTACCCCAACTTCCTCCCCAGGTCAAAGGAGAATTACAGGATATTAGAGTTGAAGAAACGCTCCCCCAGCCCTTAATTCAAACCTAAGCATGTTGCTAAATTACCCCTTAACCCAAACCTCTTCCTTATCCTGACACTAGCAACCATCCCAACACTAACTCGAATTCTTAAATTAACCCAAGGCCTAACTCCAGCCTAGTCTAGCATCCTTCCTGAACCAGGCCTCTGATCCAGCAACTCTGACAGACGGCAGAAGTTTGTCTTTGTTCCCTCCACATCTCCCTTGCTCTCCTTTATTTTCCTAACACTTCTCCCCTCCCACCTTTCTCCACTACATGTTACAGGTATCCAAAGCAGGTGACACCATCCCTGACTACCTAGAAAGTACTGTAGACTCTCTCCCCAGTCTTTCTCTTGAGATGCTGCCTAAATTAACAGTAGACCCAAACATGAAGCGGTATGTCTCCTGATTGTAATGATGGAGAGAAGGGTGTGTGCATATGTGTTGTGTGGGGGCTACATTAAGGAGAGAGAAGAAGCTCCATAACCCCCTGAGCCTCTGAGAGGCTGCAGTTACTTAGGAGTCCAAGGCAAAGTGGCTCCCTGCATCTCTACTGTGGCCCACCTATGTTGCTTCCCCTTTGGCTTGTTGAAATGGAGAAGGCTGATCACGTTCTGTCAGTTGATGCTGCTCCCTGGACCAACAGTTCCTCCTTGGCAGCCTTTATCTAGGCCCCATCACCATCTCTCTCCACAGGGCTTGGCGTGGAAGGGAAGTGCTGTGCCCTGAGATGCCCGTGCCCATCTCTGTCTTCCCCCTTGCCTACCATTTTCATTTCTCGGCATGTGGAGCACAGTTGCTGGTTTCTGAGCAGCAGCATGGAGTCACTCTGGTTCCTCTTGGCCTGAGGGAAAACAGAGACAGAGGAAGGTGAGAAAATGGAGGAGCATGCAGGGCAGCAAAGACGTAGGAAAGCAGTGGAGGGGGGAGAGAGGTAACAGTTTGTCCTTCCATAAAGCAGAGATGGGTGCTCTGATCTCAGCCCATCCAGGGTGGATGTTGAATCTGGAGTGTGCTGTCGTTGGTAGGTTCTGAGAGTTTAGGCAGGAAGGAGTGAGACACAGGCTAAACAGTGGTCTTGAGCCTGCTGCATACAGTGTACAGATATAAAGACAGCTGGCAGAGGTGGCTGGGGCCTGACATTCAGTGGGGTCTCTGCTTTCCAGCCTGAGCACCCATGTCTGAGGGACTGCATTTTCATATAGGTGGCCCATTTTTTCCATTTCAGACAAAGCCTCCACTATATAGACTGAGGATCTCTGATGGCCTGAGAAAGAATGAAGAGAAGACTTCTCTTCTGCAAACCTTTTTCATGGGCCTTTCCCAAGCATCGCCCTCCTTTCTCATGCCTTAACTCTGGGCCAGCATCAGCTCTCATGCATCCATGGTCCAGGACCATTTGGCCCTTCTGTACCTCCTGAGCACAATGAATGAAGCCACAAACAGAACTCAAGCTTCTGTGTGGGTCCTGAGCCCCTCAATCCTCCGGAAGAGAGGCTGTCTCAGCAGGTGAAGAAACAACCAGTGGAAGAAGGTCAGGGGCACCCTGTCTGCTCACTGTAATTACTGCTTTTTGTTCTGATTTCATTTCTGCAAAAGGGTTAAAGAGAAGACTCTGGGCATTTATACCTCCTTCAGGAGGTTCTCGTTTGCATGTCTGATAAAGGTTTGTTTAAGAAGCAAATGGGAACTTGCGGCTAAAATTATGTTTGGGGATTCTCTCTTAACCTTCCTCATTCACATTGACATCAGTCATGAGATACGGTCACACAAGGTGCAGAATATGGAGGAGAAGAAAACCACACTGAGAAGACTATTTGACCGAAGTCTTCTCTTTCATTTGATATGCTTGCTGGCCCATCACTCCAGAGTGTGCCTTGACCCATTCCTGTTGCCCTGGGAGGCATGGGGAACAGAAAGAGGAAGAACAGAAAGTGAGGAGTTCCTGAGGTGTGCTCCTAGGATGGCCTTTGCCAGATTGTTCTGCAAGTAGCTTCATCCTGTGAGGGACATATGGCACTTAGGTGAGGCATCAGTGGGGGTTTGATGGCAAAAAACTAGTAACAAAATGGGATTCTTTTAACAAATATTTAAAATACACTTCATTTTTATAGGGCACTCTAAAAAGAATCAACTCAGTATTACAATGTTGTGGGTTGGTATGTCCAAGTATGTGTGTGAATAACTAGATTCAGTCATTCAACAACAAACATCTATTGTGAGGCTACCAAGTAAAGGGTGTTGTGACACACAGATGAATAAGGCAAAGTTTCTGGAAGGAAGTTTCTAAGGAAGACAAAAGAAGAATACAAATCCATTCATTTACTCATCCATTAGGTACTGGAGACACTGAGATAAATAAAATATAGTTTGTGACCTCAAGCTGCTCACCATCCAGCAGCCTATACATCAAGAAGTATGACGGTGTTGAAGATGCTACAACAGAAATATATCGAGGCCCCAGTGAAGCTGAAAGGGATCATTGAGCTCAACTGGGGGTGGAGCAGAGAGGGAAGGGTCTGAGAAGGGTGAAAAAAACAGGCAATGCTTGGTAGGTATTTGTGGAGTGAACAAGGATAGGGGAGGGTGTTCAAAGCCCAGGAAACACTACACAACAACCTGAAAGAAGAATCTGGCAAATCAGCTTCAGGTAAGTGAATATAGGTTAGAATGGACAGGTTGTCTGGTGGGAGGATGGATGGAGTGAGAAGAGAGACTAGACAGGAAGTGTCTGTGTGTGTATTGACTCCTGTGCTTTGGGCTAATTCAACTTTCTACCATGTCTTCCTGATACCCTTGGGGTGGTATTCCCTGAAGCTCTAGCTCCTCCATCCATCCCTTGCATCTTTGAGGTGTGAGACTGAAGTACATTTCTGAAACTACAATTAAGGTAGAACATATTAGATATCATACAAGAGCCAGTGATACCTCTTTGACTCCAGAAAACAGAGAAACCACTCCTGATTGGAGAAATCAGGAAAGACTTCCTAGAGATGGAATTTGTACTCAGTCTGAAGGGATGAGAAGATCTGGACAGGGGAGGTTGATATGGGAGAATCCTTGGGCGGGTTTGTTTTTAGTAGAGTTATAAACTCTTCACCGAAAGTATTTCCTTCACTTTTTTCCAAACTTCTGGTTTTTGCTAAGAATACTACTAGACCCTACAGGAATCAGAATCTCAGAGTTCACTGCAAATCAAGCAACAGATATTATAGCAAGATCTTGCTAGGTTAATGAATACTGTAAATGTGACTACAGAGTCCCATAACATGATGACTGTCATCTCTTAAAATCTGAAAGATGAAATGCTTATATATTGTCCCACCTGGCCTTGATAACTACTCATTTAAGACATAGTATAGGTGTTAAATCTTCAGAAAACCTTTCTCCTGGGCCTCCTACTATTTCTCACTCTCCTAACCTCAGTTGGGTGTCTGCCTCTTTAATTGCATCATAAACTCAATCTAGCTTTCTTTGTATTTGCACTATTCTTCTTGTTTGTAAATGTGTTTGTTTCCTCCAATGGGCTGAGTTATTATATTTAAGAGCAAGAATCATGTTTTTATACATCTTTGTATTCCTAGAGCCTATGATAGAATCTGGCACACAGTAAGTATTCAACAAACATTGGGTGAATGACTGAGTCATTGTAAGCAATTTAAATGATCAGGTCTAAATATAGACACAACATACATACATATATATGTGTCTAAATATGTGTATAATTATAGACACAACATACATACATACACAAATATATATATATATATATTCACCTAAAACAAAAAATACATATATACATGAAGATCACTATTATAGCACTGTCTTTTGTCTTCAGGGAAATATTACAGAACATTAGTGTTGTCGTGCAACAAATTCATTCTATGTAATGTGCTGAGGAAGAGCACTGGATAGATGCCCAAAGAGTTCTGTTCCAGTCCTGGCTCATGAACAACTCAGGTGACTTTTGTCAATAATATAAACTCTCCAGGTCTCCCTTTCCCTACTGATAATAGTCTTTGTGGTCAAGAAGACATAAGCGGATACTCTAATCCTGTCCCTTTACACTTTACACATAAAGGTAAAAAGCTGTCTTTGATCTGTGCTGTACTCTACCTCAGACTCGCCATCAGTTGAAGCCTGGCCTCCAGGAAGAGCTGCTCCATTTCTCTCTGGAGAATGGATGAGGGCATTGAAGAGCATGGAATGCAGCTGTGATAGGCTACTTCAAAGGTGATGCAAACATTTGGGACTCCATGTCCTGCAGGCCTCATTTCCTCCATTCTGTCTTGCTTTCTTTCCCAGCCCTGAAACCCAGGTCTTGGGTCTTTTTCTTCTGCAGCATTCCCTTCTCACTCTTGGTTTCCTTATGGCCAGCTCGGCAGTACTAACAGGAATGGAGAGGGAAATGTCCAGGTTCATAGCACAAGGCCCTGGTTATATTAGGTCTAGAGCCAGAAGCACCGGAATGTTAACGGGGTTCTCAGTTCCCAAGCAACTGTCCTCTGGACAGCAGACAGCAGTTGTGACAGGAGACTGACAGCAACCTAGTGAGAGCCTGGCCAAGGGATGACGCAGATTTCAGCCAGTCCCCAGAAGCCAAAGCATGTTTTACAATTGGAAGCATCCTCATACCTGAGGACAATATCTGCTGTGGTGTCTAAGGGCTGGCTCATGGCCCAAAGCCGTGGCCTCCTTGAACCCTTGGTAAAGAAACAGATAATCACGTTTCTCTCCATCTCTCTCTCCCTCCACTCTCCTCCTTCTATTTTTCACTCCCTTTCTTTCTCTCTTACACACCTGTTCACATAAAAACTGAAAATGTGAGCACCAGATGGTGATTAAAACAGCACTCTGTGTGGTGTACTGACACATTTGCCTCTGTCCTTTCCTTCAACACTTCTATTTCTTTTCTCCTTCCCACTTGTAACTTAACTGAGAGAGCCCTCATAGGACACCTGGTTCAAATCTTTCAATTAACCCAATGAAAAAGCTGTGGTCCAGAAAGGTTAAAAGATTTGTCCAATACCGCATGTATTGGGCTTCAGTCGGCTAGAAGGTTTTTGGATAAAAGGGTCAACAACAGATTATCTTTCCTCAGGGGAAGAGTAAACTCTTAGAATCCATATAATGGCAGAATTATTTCTACCACATAGAATCCCAAAAGTAGTGGTCAGAGAACTGGTTTCAATATCCCAAAAAAACCTTATGGTATTACACATATTCCTTCTTTCTGAAAACACCAGCCATTTTAAAGTATAAAGCTAAATATGCTTTCAAAAATGCTCTTAATGTTCACTAGGAAAAAAACACAAAAATATACACAAAATAATAGCCATGTCCCTGCATTCAGACTTATTATGTTTGATTTGTATTACATCACTATTTTAGGCCAATAGCATTTAATATTCTCTTTAAAAATTGTATGTGTAATTATATGCATTAGATCAATATAAGAAATATAAGTATGAAAATGACTTAGGAGTATACAAGGTAGTTTCCTTGGTAGTTATGAGCCTTGAAAACTTAGTCATTGAGAGAGAAATACTAAAAAGAGAGTTCTTAGTGGAGAGAAAATAGGAAGTCAAAATCCTGTGCATCTATGCTCTGCTACTGCACAATCTTTTTAGCCAGGGCTTTTTGCCTCAGGTCAGCTAAAACAAAATAATGTTCTTATCTTCACTCTGACTCATTAGACTGGAACAACAAACATGGATCAAAGTGAGCAGAGAGAGACAGTGGGGGCAGGAACTGAGAGGGTGGAGTGGCATTTTACCATCTATTAGTAACTGAGGAGCTCTAGCTCCACCCAGTACCAGCAAGTGGGCAAAGGGGTTTCAGAGTCTCGAGCTGCAGTTTTGCGGGTCACCCCCACACATCTGCTGTTCCCTTACCCTGGATCACTGAGTCAGCCACGTCACCTCTTGGCCCAGTTACCCAGCTAGCATGATGCACCTTTCTGTTTCTCGGTATCTTGAGGAGTCCTGAGTGGATGCCTGGAAATGGCAGGTGAAAGTGATGACTAATGAAGACGCTCCTCACAGTAAATGTTTAAATGAGGAAATGCTTAGGCTTCATTTCTTGCTCATCACTGAAAATCTTTCTTCTTTGATAGTCCTGCCTCTCCTTTTGTGTTTTTTGTCCCTCACCTCTGTGTGTGTTTCTCTCTCTTGCTGTCTGTCTCCCTCTCCCTGTCACGGTGTCTGAGCCTGTTTGCCCTTTATCTATTAACTAGGAATTACTGCTCAGGCACAGGTACACCTGCCTCTGCCACCGGGCTGCTCCTGAGCAGGGGAGGAGTTAGTGGGTGTTGAAAGCTCTGACCTTTGACCTGTGACGGTGAAGAAGAAGGCAGCCAGGTGGCAGGACCTTTGCACCTCTGCACAGGGTCCAGGGCCTCCAGTTAGCCTCCGGATAGCCAGCAGCTTCTCGGCAACTCCCTGATTTAGAGGATGAAGGAAGAGATCGTGTCCACAGTACATTCTACTCCCTTGAAACAAAACAGTTTCCTTCCAGAAGGGAGCCGCCGCCTGCTGAATCCATGTTGACCCCATGGCACATACCTGCAGGCCTTCATGCACGCAGTAGACTCTTGGAGCCAGATTCAAATTTGAGGACGTCTGTGTGACAGGAAAGAATACGGCTGGAGGTATCTGCCTGGTGCCCCAACAGAGCAAGGATCCTGGGTTCCCTAGTTGCCTTTCAATCTGCAGGGGTGACTCTTTCTCAAGTTCAAATCAGTGGAGGGTCAGCCCTCCACAGGATGAGAATGAGGGTGAGGGTGAGGTTGAGGGACCTGTGTTCTCTCCTGAGAGGACCAACCTATTTGGCACTTCTCGCGGGTCAGCTGGGAGACTGGCCTCCCAGGAACCCTCTGGGCTACTCAGCTGGAAGCGGTTGCTCTTAACTGCCATCTAGTGGCTAACTATGAATATTGCAGCCACAAAACCCGCTACCCCCAGCTGGAGAATGGCCTCTCCCTGTCCCTGGTCGTTTTGATTGGCTTTCCTTCCCCATCCTCCATTCCAGCCAGGTTGGGGCCTGGTGTTATGCGCCTAAGTTGCCACAGCACGGAGATCCAGAACAACTCTGAGATGAGGAGTCGTTCAGCGGCAGGTGAGACCGGTCTAACTAGGAAGTTCACAGCGACTGGATGACTGGAAGGCTTCCTGCTGGCTCTGCAGCAATTGCTAAGCCAGTCCTGCCTCCCCACTCATTCCCCCCACCTCCAACCAGTGCACGTCATGGTTGCCAGTTACCTCCTTGCCTGTCCATGGTGTTAGAAGGACTAAGGGATGACTCGTAGGCAAAGCTTGGCCCCTGACGCTCTGGTGTTGGAAACCTGGAATGCTCTTGGCTGTGGGGCCCTGTGTGCATTAGCTGGGCTCAGCCGTGTCCTTGTTTCCTTTTCATGTATGCTCATAATTCCTTGACGTTCTTCAAGCATTTCCTGTACACGCAGTCTCCACCTCTTTGCTGATCAGCTTCTTTTCTCTTTCCAGTTCTTCCTCCACCCCTGGCTCTTTCCTCTGCTTGAAAACAGTACCTTCTAAAGCCCTTGCAGATGCCACTTCCTCCTGAACCATTCTCTCACTGCCCCTCTGCTTGCCCACCCTGGGGCTGACCTTTGCTCCCACCTTCTCTCACAAGTGCTGTGGCCTGCCTCTGAGATGCATTCTCAGAGTGTCCCCTCATGTCTGCTCACTCATGTGCGTAGCTGCGGCTGACATTCATCTCTGACGTATTAAAGCAAATGCAAAGGCCTTTGTAAACATTTACTGATGGACACCAGGGCTCCTAATAATTGTGGCTCATATTCCCTGAGCTCTTGCTCTGGGTGGGGCCCTGTGTCAAGTGCTTTAGGACACTGCTCCAGGCACTGCCCGTGACAGCCCTGTGAGTGATGCGTAGTTTTTCAGGTGAAAAAACTGCTTATCTCACCATATGTTTTCTTTCTCCAGCTCAGGGAGGTCCTGACTACCCAAGCGCTGTAGCCTCTGTGCTTGCTCCACAGTGACACTGAGTGTCACTCAGCAGCCGGTCATGGTGGAGGGGAAATGAGGAGTTTTTAATGTAAAATTCCACCGGTGTGGGGAGCTGTGGATGGGAGGCATAAGCAGGCCTCTGGGGGAGGCATTAGAGACTCCAAATTGGTTCCAGTCATACGCTGACAGGCAGTCTCTGAAAGTCTTGGGGCAGATTCCTCCATACTAATTTTTAGTTTCCTGTTTTGTTGATTCTAACCTTATGCCTGTATTCTTAGTTCTAGTGAACTGGGGCCCTAAAGCACTTGAAACAGAGTGAGGGGGGTGGTGCCCATTCATTTTGTTTAACAAATATTTATTGAACACTGATTGTGTACCAAGCACAGGACTGTGCTAAGAAGATGGGACATGTATTTGTATTCTATGTCATTCTAGAATGAATTTTCATTTCCATTAAAAAATGTTGAGTACCTTAGATAAAACATCTGGAACTTGAAACAAACTTGGCAAATTCATATTCTTCTTGGATGAAGTCACAAAAGTCTCAGAGAAATGAGGAGATCTAAGTAATTGAAACAAGAGAAAGTTAGAACCACAGTCCCCAGTTTGAAGAGCCAGGCCCTTGGTTGTTTCTGAGCAAATACAAGGGACACCATGGAGAGCTGCCTCCCACTCCACTTCTGGAGGACTCAGGCCATTGAGTGGCTCCCAAAAGAAGGCTTTGCCCTCCCATGTCACTTTTGACTTTTCTGTCTCTTTTGTTTTACACTAACCAATGCTAGTTTTGGATTGTAAGACAGTGTACCAATAAGTCAGGATAAAGATTGTTCCCAACAGTAGATGTGTAATGAGTGAAATGAATCCCAGGTTTCCTCTTTGAAAGGGTCTGCACTGAAGGTTTTGATGTTTAACCAGTGCCTGCCCCCTTTCATACCTGGCCTGGCTTCTTGGAGTTTTTGTCCTTGCACACTGAAGCAACCCACCTGCTTCCTCCCACAGAATGTCTTCTCCCTCCACCCACTCCTTTCCTTTGGAACATTTTTTTCTTTCTCGTTAGCAGGTGAAGCAGTGATGCTGCAAGAACACGTTTTTTCTGCAGAGTGATCTGCCTGTGCTCTGTCTCACTTGGCATTGTGGTTCCTTTCATTATAGTGTAAAGGGCCAAGTCCTGCAGGGACCTGATAATCTTAAACTGTTTGTGTGTGTGGTACCATTCATGCCCCTGGCGTCCAAGAAATGGAAACTCAGAATGCTGGCAGTTTTGCCAAGAACACATCTCCTCTCTAATGAGGAAAGATTTCATTGTCCATTATTAATTGAAAACAAAGGCATATGAAAGGAGTTTGATGTTCAGGAGGCATTTCTTGTTTCATTTCTTCTCACATTTCTCTGGGCCCTATAAGACTGGAGGAGGTGGGTCTGATATGAGTTCCCTCAGGGACTTTGTCTTTGATATAGGAAAAGGCTGCCTTGGACTTGATCAGGAGATACCAGGAGGCCAGTTTTGAACTCCTTCAGCACACAATAATCTTACATAAACAGGACCTTAGTGTGACCTGAAGGGCTTTGGAGACTGATGATGAGTGTGGCTTCGAAATTGTCAGACCAACCTGAGAGAATCCTTAAAGGAAGTAGGTCAGTACAGGCACTTCTCATTACAGCCCAGCCTCGCCTCCTCCAACCCCGCGGGTGTGTTTCCAGTGCTCTCTTGGAATTACTCTGAGCATATTTGGCTAAATGTTCCTTTATCTTTTTCAGACTGTTCTGCATTTGCTTAAGAGTATGTAATACTTAAGGCACATTGAGAACTTTCTCCCAAAGTCTCAGAGAGGGGCTTTGCCAAAAATAAACACCTTGGAACCCAGAGCTTTGGGCCATATGAGGAGCTTCTAATTCTTAAGATCTGTTGGTATTTAAACAAACCATCCTTTCAAAAGACTTTACATTCTTTTCTTGTCCTCCTGAGAGCTCAGGGCACCTCAGAGATGTTGTTTGTCATCTTAGAATTCTTGTGAGATAGGTGAACTCCCTTTTTCTAAACAGGAATTGAGATGGCTACCCCAGTCCTCCCAGAATAGCGATGAGTGCCTAAGGTGATTTCTCTTTTCACCTAGCTTAGGTTTGGCTGGCTGGAGGAAAAACTACCCTTTCCAGCTGGCCGTCTGCTCTGACCCTCCAGGACCTGGCTGTGAAAGTGAACAGATGCTGCAGATGCCCAGCTGCATTCTGGGCCTACTGTTCTCCCTGGTCTCCACCCTCTGCCAAAGGCTTGTATAATTAGAGACCGAGGGAGCTAAGGGCAAGAGAGCCATGCAAAGGATGCTTTGCTCTTGGCTGCTAGGGCAGATCTGATGGGCATGGGGGTACTATGGGATGGTGGGATAGTACCCTATTAGATCAAACACTAGCAATTTCACATAAAACATCCAGATTTCTAGTGCTGTTAGAAAACCCAGTGGATTTGGCCTCTGAACTAACATGGCTGCAGATAACACTGCCTGGGGTGGGGGTGGGCTGAAAAGGAGAGATAATTTCCCATTCACAGCAGTCCTATCTGGCCAGCTGTACTCATTATGCCCCTCATCTGACTGTCATAGGCCTGTGAGTTTGTGTTCCTCCACAATTAAATTATGCTAGACTGTCCTTACTCATGCTGATCTGCGCAATGTTAACAACTCTTAATAAGCACTCTATCACTTAGTGCTTTTGTTTCCTAAATAGGCCTTTGAGTTTATGGAACCTCTGATCGTCTGCTATAGATATATTCAAAATTATGTAAAAATAACACAACTGAATAATGAGCACTTGGAAGCACTTGTGCATTTTGTTCTGAAAATACTTAAAATTGTCTGCCTGTTTACTGAGAATGTGATTTTTTTTCATGTGTAGTAGACAAAGCAAAGTGTTACTAAAGTGGGGATGTGGAGAAAGTGATGGGAAGTCACTTATGAAGTCACTCATCCATGGGCAGGAGGGTACACGGTAGATGCCAGCAGAAGGAGAAACTCTTTTGGGGGAGTCTGGCTTTTACGAGCTGTCTCACATGCCAAGGAGTCAATCATTTTTAGTCTGTGATGTGCCTTTCGAATGGCCTCCATGCCTGCCCTTTCTCTGCCCTTCTTCTGGTTTCTCCCATTCACCCCAACATTACTTCACATCCACCCTTCTGTCCATGTCCCCTTCCCGGAGCGGAGTTTATCACTGCACTCAGGAACCATTTCATCAAAAGTGGAGGAGGAACAAGGTAACCCAATTATTTGAAGAGACAGTTGAAATGCTCCCTAGACATGTAATTCCTGCAACTTTGAAAAACGGATTTATGTGTCATATAGCAGTTTGTCTAGAAGTAGTAGGACTAATAGGATTGCAGGAGAGTGCCTCAAAATTACATACAGAGTTACTATTCTATAAAGATGGGAACTTATTGTTCTAGACTTTTGATGGTAAAAATGTGAAAATTTCAGACTAAAGCAGTGAAGAAAAGGTGGGGTGAGGAAGAGGATGGAAGTGTTTTGAGAAGCAGTGTCTAGAGGTAAAATTCTCTTACATTGTTTAGTGGCAGTGGTAGAGAGGGAAATAATTTGAGATCTCATCTCCCCTAGCCACTCTCTCCACATCCCCACTTTAGTAACACACACCTTTGCTTTGTCTACTACACACACACAAAAAAATCACATTCTCAGTAAACAGGTAGACATTTTATGTATTTTCAGAACAAAATGCACAAGTGCTTCCAAGTGCTCATTATTCAGTTGTGTTATTTTTACATAATTTTGAATATATCTAAAGCAGACAATTAGAGTTTCAAGAAACTCAAAGTCTTAAGAAACAAAAGCACTAAGTGCTAGAGTGCTTATTAAGAGTAGGCCTATATTCAGTGATAATTTTCATCTGAGAAACCCAGAATACTTCTACTGTTAAAGCACTTGACTTGGGTTTCCCAATGGATCAAATGTGCCCTCTGATAACTGTCCCCATCCCTTAAGACAAAATCATCTTCTGTGAGATGTTTCATAAAACTTTTGCCCTCAGTGGCTGAGAGGTTACCTTCTGGGGAGGCTGAGCACTAATGGCTTGTTTACAAGGCTGGCCTCACTAAGCCAAGGAATCTTGTCAAATTTTGGAACAGAAACCTAGAGGGAAATAGAGATCATTTTTACAGAATGTATCACACTTGAACATTGCTCTCATTATGATGGCCAAAGTCAGCTAACAGGAACCATATAGTAAACACTTTACAAAACATTTTTATATTTTATATTTAACTCTTTAGCCATCCCATAAAGTAGCCAAATGCAAATAGTGTTATCTCCATTTTACTGATGAAGAAATCAAACGTCAGATAATGTGATCTGACTTGAGTCACGGAGCTAGTAAATGGGTCATGTTTTCTAACTTTTGTTTCCAGTGTATCCTGTGTTTTACTACATCCCTTTGTTTCTTTATTACCTCCCTCTGTTTATACATCCTTTAATATTTCCATGAACTCACTTGAATTAGTAATCTTCTCTTCACCCTTCTTAGGAGGTAAAGAGGAAAAAACCAAGCTTTGAAGCTATAGACAACTGGATATTGATCTCTGTTCATCTACTTCCCAAGTGCCTGTCTTTGGACAAATACGACTTATCTAAGCCCTAGATTTGTCCTCTTTGAGAGGGGAGATGATATAATCAGTGTAAAGATCAATGCACAAAAAAGGGTTTCATGAGAGCAGCAATTTTTGTGTTTCATTCACGGCTGTATCATGAGCACCCCAAACAGGGCTTGCCACCTGCAGCCATTCAGCCAGTATCTGTGGAATGAAGGCATGGATGCAGGGAAGCCCCTAGCCGAGGGCCTGACTTAATAAAAGGAGCGCAACAAAAGGAGCCATTATCTCTCACCTGCTGGCACAGCCTCTTTACCTGTCCCTCTCCTGCTTTACCCAGCCCTTCAGATGGCACATCCCGTTTTGCTGTAGGGCATTGCTGGGGGTTTGCTTTCCTCGGTTTAGAGCGCTCGGGTTTAGGCCGATCTTCAGGAGAGGAGCCTGGAGGTCTCTGAGCAGCCAGGAGAGGGCAGCAGCCCGGCCGCGGGGGCTCGGGCTGGGGAAGGGCACCCTCGCGGAGGAGATTGCGGCGGACCCGGAAGTACTCGGCCGCAGTCGCAGCCCCGGCCCGCCGGAGGGGGAAAAAGGCTGGGTGCCGCCGCCCCCCAGCTGCGCATCCCCCAGGAATTCTCGGGCAGGTGGGTTCCGTGTAATCGTCAGTGTTTCCAGGGCTCCTTCTCCTCTGCTGTCCCCCGCAGGCCTAAGGCTGGGTGAGGGGCGGCGGCGGAAGTGGGAGACCCGGAGAGTGATGGCGCGCCCCTGGGGTCACCCTGTCCTATCCTGTCCCCTCCCAACCCCACTTTGCGGGCGGGCGCTGTCCTTTTGGGCGCCGCAGATTCTCCAGCCCGGCGGCAGCCTGGAGATTCCTGGGCTGGGATCCCTGCAGCAGAGAGGGGGGATAACGGTGTCTGGCTTGCCAAGCAACACTCGTGGTCTTCATGGAAGAAGTTAGGCCAGGCAATATGAAATTTTTGTCCTCTAATTTGCCGGATGGCTGTGGTGTTTCTGACTTCGTTTTCCCATTGTGAAAAAGGAATGATTAGCTACTTCGGTCCTCGCAAGAGTTTCGCCGTTTTGAGTAGAATGATAGCTCTTTAAAGTACTGTATGCTAAGCTCAGCTAATGGAAGAAAAGTCTAGTTTCTTTGAGTCTTTGATTTTGGCTAAATAAACTGTGGCACTCGTATCTTTCTGTATAGTGCAGCTTACTATTTATTGTCTTTGGATCGGTAACTTAAAAAACATAAACAACATGCCTTTGAGAACCAATAAAAAATGTGGATATTATCCCTATAAATTTACACAAATGCAGATATAAGCATGCAATGTGATATACCTGAGGGGTATGTGAACCAGTGAGTTCCGAACTGGTTTAGAGGGAACGACAATGTGAGACACAGGCCTCGGGGTAAGACTGGTTTGAATGCTGGCTCCGCTCTGTTATCTTAGGGCAAAGTTACTTAAGCATCTTGAATCTCAGCTTTTTTACTAAAGCAGGACTAATGCTATCTTGCAAGGTTGTGAGGATTAAGTGAAAGAAGATACATAAGGGCACTTAGCACATAGTAGGCACTCAATAATTGATAGCTAACAGATGTATGTTATTCAAGGAATTACAATTTTCAAATCTGAAATGCAGTTTTAATATCCCAAATTGATAAGGTGACAACCACATACATTTTGCTCAGACTTTTAGTAAACTGAATGATTTGGCTTTAACTCAGTACTACCCTTGACCTTTCACAACTTTCACAGGTTCACAGTCTCTCTTTTTCTAGGAACTTGGCTGTGTTGTCCTGCCTCAGAGACAAACTCATCTGTTGTAGGCCTAGCGTGGGTTGCTGCCTTTGAAAACCAGGAAAGTTCAGTAGAACATCAACCACAGCGTGGAATTTCCAGGGAGGTCTCATTTCAAAACTTCATAGAGAACAGGAACCACCTGGACTTCTGTGAGGGCAATGATTAAACTGGCCTGAGTTTGAATGAAAGGATAATGTGTGCCCAACCTGTAGCTAACACCAAGGAGGTCAAGTGGCAGAAGATCTTGTATGAGCGACAGCCCTTTCCAGATAACTATGTGGACCGGCGGTTCCTGGAAGAGCTTCGGAAAAACATCCATGCGCGGAAATACCAATATTGGGCTGTGGTATTTGAGTCCAGTGTGGTGGTCCAGCAGCTGTGCAGTGTTTGTGTTTTTGTAGTTATCTGGTGGTATATGGATGAGGGTCTTCTGGCCCCCCATTGGCTTTTTGGGACTGGCCTGGCTTCTTCACTGATTGGGTATGTTTTGTTTGATCTCATTGATGGAGGTGAAGGGCGAAGGATGAGTGGGCAGACACGGTGGGCTGACCTGAAGAGTGCCCTAGTCTTCATTACTTTCACTTATGGGTTTTCACCAGTGCTAAAGACCCTGACAGAGTCTGTCAGCACAGACACCATCTATGCCATGTCAGTCTTCATGCTGTTAGGTCATCTCATCTTTTTTGACTATGGTGCCAATGCTGCCATTGTATCCAGCACACTGTCCTTGAACATGGCCATCTTTGCTTCTGTATGCTTGGCATCACGCCTTCCCCGGTCCCTGCATGCCTTCATCATGGTGACATTTGCCATTCAGATTTTTGCCCTATGGCCCATGTTACAGAAGAAACTAAAGGCATGTACTCCCCGGAGCTATGTGGGGGTCACACTGCTTTTTGCGTTTTCAGCCTTGGGAGGCCTACTGTCCATTAGTGCTGTGGGAGCCATACTCTTTGCCCTTCTGCTGGTGTCTATCTCATGTCTCTGTCCATTCTACCTCATTCGCCTGCAGCTTTTTAAGGAAAACATTCATGGGCCTTGGGATGAAGCTGAAATCAAGGAAGACTTGTCCAGGTTCCTCAGCTAAATTATGACATCCATTACATATTAAGGCAAGCTGATAGATTAGCCTCTTAACTAGTATAAAACTTGAAGACTGAGTTCCATTCTGGAAGCAGCATGTCATTGTGGTAAGAGAACAGAGATCAAAACAAAAAAACGAACCAAAAGCTGAAAACAAGGAAAAGTTGGTAGAACATCAACCGCAGCATGGAATTTCCAGGGAGGTCTTATCTCAAAACTCCCTGGGTGGTAAGGGAGCTCATCCTTTCTATTATTTTGTGGATGAAAAAACTTTCTGGGTCTCTCTTGAATTACACACTGTAACATATGAAGTGATGTGGTTTCTATTAAAAAAATAACACATTCACCAAGTTGTCTCATGATTTTTCCATAAATAGTAGGCAGACAGAAGAGCATGAAGAGTGAAGAGAGAATGTGTGTGTATGTGTGTGTGTGTACGTAAAGTCACTTCTCTCTACCCTTTTCAGTGTGCTAATGCTCTTTGATTTATCGAGGGCTCAAATCCTAGAACACAGGATGCTATGTTCAGTTTTGTTGCCCAAGATCACAGAATTGGTTACTTAATCTTGACTCAGAGTTTCTACCTTGTTCTTAGGGAAGCATATACACAACTAATTACAAAGGAGAGTGTGATGTGTCATCATAAGCAGAATGCTAGGGGGAATTCAGAAGCTAGAGATAAATTTCAGCTGGAATAATTAGGAAATACTTATGAGAGGAGGTGACATTTGAGCTTAGTCTTGGAGGATAGGGGAGACAAGTAGGCAGATGATGGTTTTAGGGCAATGTGGTGAAGGCCTTTTGAGACCAGGTCAGTAAGGAAGCAAGTGGAACTGGCATACTTTGTGTGACTGGTGGCAACTGTGAACAACTATGGAGATGTCCAATGTAGACAACTGTTACTGTGCTCCAACTGATAGTTTCTATTCACAGTTTGCGCCTAGCTTTAGACCCTTAGAATTCCAGATGGGATTCTAAATGAAATCCCAGTAACTGTATATCTGATTTTTAATATGAAGTCTGACTTGTATATTCTGTCTCAAGTTTAAATTAATCAGGTAATGGGGAGCAATCCAGCTTGTCTAAGGAGGAAATAAATTATCAAATCTTAGGCAACAACTGTTCTGTGTCTCAGTTTTCATCTGTAAAGTGGGAAGTACTTCTAGAATTGTGGTAAATGGGATCTATGCAAAATGCTTTGAAGAATGCCTGACACAAAGCACTATGAATGAGCATTAGCACTATGTAATAGTACTAATGTATTAGGTGTTATTGACATGTAAGAAAACTTGAAAAGAGCAAAGATAAGGTGTCAGATGCAGCAGTTACCTCCCAGGATAAGTGTTTATACCTGTGGTAACTGATTTGGGGCAAGCTTCTGTATTGTCCTTTTATTAGTAGGAATTAATTTCAAATCAGAAATTTCATCAGGGAGTGGAATTCCTAAAAAGTAACATTTTTATTTCTCTGAACGTAATCCATGAGGGTTGGACTAGCATCTTCCAAACTCCTGTTAATGTTGTTATTTTGACCTCTCACAAGTTACAAATATTCTTAATGGCAGTGCCTAGGTCCATCAGAGGAATCACTATCTATGGCAGCTATAGCCTTACAAAATGTGTTTCTTAAATAATAAGACTTCAAAGTCAAAATTACTTCTTGATCCGTGGGCTTCAGAATGGTTGTTGTGTTAGCAGGCCTGAAAACAAATTTCAAATGGACAGTAATATCTTGAAAGGAATCTTTTTCTGAGCAGTAGGCCCAACACAGATCTTAAAATATTCAGTATACTGGCTGAGTGTGGTGGCTCACTCCAGTAATCCCAGCACTTTGGGAGGCCAAGGCAGGTGGATCACGAAGTCAGGAGATCAAGACCATCCTAGCTAACATAGTGAAACCCTGTCTCTACTAAAAATAGAAAAATTAGGCAGGCATGGTGGTGCACTCCTGTAGTCCCAGCTACTTTAGAGGCTGAGGCAGGAGAATCTCTTGAACTCGAGAGGCGGAGTTGCAGCGAGCCAAAATCGTGCCATTGCACTCCAGCCTGGGTAACAGCAAGACTCTGTCTCAAAAAAAAAAAAAAAAAATTCAGTATACCATGCAACAGATGTGCTGTGTGTGGCTATCCAGGCTTTGTTGTTTTACTTCTAAGAAGAGTAGATTTAACATAATTTTCAAGGGCCCTGGGATTTTCAGAATGGTAAATGAGCATTGACTTCAAATCACCAACTGCTTTAGCCCCTAATAAGAGAGTCAGCCTGTCCTTCGAAGCCAGACATTGATTTCTCTTTAGCTATGAAAGTCGTAGATGGCACGTTCCAGTAGCCAGCTCTTTTATCTACATTGAATATCTATTGTTGAGTGTAGCTACTTTTGTCAGTGTTCTTGGATAACTTGCAGCTTCTATATCAGCACTTGCTGCTTCACTTTGCACTTTTATGTTACAGAGATGGCTGCTTTCCTTAAACTTCATGAATCAACCTCTCTTAGTTTCAGACTTTTCTTCTGCAGCTTCCTCTGCTCTTTCAGCCTCTGTTAAATTGAGGAGAGTTAGGGCCTTGTTGTGAATTATGCTTTGGCCTAAGGGAATGTTGTGACTGGTTAGTCTTTTATACAGACCACTAGAACTTTATCTGTATTAATAATAAGGCTGTTTTCGTTTCTTATCACGGGAGTAGCACTTTTAATTTCCTTCAATAACTTTTGTTTTACATTCACAATTTGGCTAACTGTCACAAGAGCCCTGGCTTTCAGCCTGTCTTGGCTTTTGGCATGTCTTCCTCACTAAGCATAATCATTTCTACTTTTGATTTAAAATGAGAGATGTGCAACTCTTCCTTTCACTTGAACAGTTAGAAGCCATTGGAGCGTTATTAATTGGCCTAAATTTGTTACTGTTGTGTCTCAGGAATTAGGGAGGCCTGAGAAGAGGGAGAAAGGAAACAGCTGGCCAGTGGAGCAGTTGGAGCACACACACATTTATCCACTAAGTTTGCCCTCTTATGTGGGTGTGGTTTGTGGTACCCCTAAACAATTACAATAGTAACATCAAAGATCACTGCTCTGATCCCAGATCTGCATAACAGATAATTAAAAAGTTTGACATATTGTCAGAATTACCAAAATGTGACACACGAACACGAAGTGAGCATGTGCAATTGGAACAATGGCACTGACAGACTTGCTTACCACAAGGTTGCCACAAACTTTCAATTTAAAAAATGCAGTATCTGGCTGGAAACAATGGCTCACACCTGCAACCTCAGCAATTTAGGAGGCTGACGTGGGAAAACTGCTTGAGCCCAGGAGTTCAAGACCAGTCTGGGCAACAAAGTAAGACCGCCCTCCCCCCCCCAACCCCCCCACCCCCGTCGCTACAAAAAGTTTTAAAAATTAACTGGAGGTGGTAGTGTGTGCCTGTGGTCCCAACTGCATGAGAAGCTAAGGCAGGCAGATCTTGAGCCCAGGAGGTCGAGACTGCAGTGAGCTGTGTTTGCATCACTGCACTCCAGTATGGGCAACAGAGCCAGACCCTGTCTTTAAAAAAAAAAAAAAAAGTTTAAGAAAAATTGCAAATAAAAAATTTCATTAAATGTGTTGTTAAGGCAATGTCTTGGGAGGCAGATCATGAGGTCAAGAGATCAAGACCACCTGGCCAACATGGTGAAACCCTGTCTCTCCTAAAAATACAAAGCTTAGCTGGGTGTGGTGGTGCATGCCCGTAGTTCCAGCTACTTGGGAGACTGAGGCAGGATAATCGCTTGAACCCAGGAGGTGGAGGTTGCAGTGAGCCAAGATCACGCCACTGTCCTTCAGCCTGGCAACAGAACAAGATTTTGTCTCAAAAAAAAAAAAAAAAGAAAAAGAAAAAGAAAATGTCAGGCAATCCAGAGCCCTGTGTGCTGCCATTAGAAAGATGTTGAGGCTCACCTGTGGCATGCCTCTTTGGCTGCTGCTGGCACAGGGATTCTCACCAAGAAGACAATTGGTATAAAGTAGTATGACAGTTGTCTGGGAAGTTACTCATCGCTTAAATTCAGTGATCTTGTCAGTCTCTTATATTTAAACCACACTGAAAGGGTGTAAGTAGAATATTAATGATTTATATTTTTAGAGAATCCTGTGGTGTGTATGGGAAAAGGGGAAAGGTGAGGAGGAAAAGTTTATAGTAGCAATGGAATTAAATCCCAGCCTGCCAAATACTTGCCTGCATAAGAAACTGTCTCCCCTTCTCCCTTTGCACCCCTTCCTCCCAGCTCTGCTTCTTATCACTCTAAGTTACAGATAAGCCTGGAGGGTGGTGTGGCAAGTGAGATCAAGGAGAGAGGAATGGGGAGGCAGCTTTGTTCATGCTTCCAAAATCATGCCAAGGGTTAAAGTTGGTATGGAAGGGATCAAGGAGAGGTGGAGCTATGGGATGACAGATGCACTTTATTTTGCGACATGATGCAGCTGATTTATGAGTGACATGTAACTAGAAGGCATGTGCATCTGGCTGTAGCAACATCCATGGTGGTTCTCTGTGGATATTGTATTGGTGTCAGTAAACTTTTGAGAAATACTTTGGCCAGCTGGCTTACACTGTGGATTTAATAATTCATACTGAGCATATAGAGGATGCATATTGAGCCATCATGTACATCCTCTAAGCCAAAAGCTCAAGGATAAGAAAAAGAAAACAAGTCAGCAGAGGGCATCAGTTACACAATTACATAAAATTTCAAACCCATTGAATTTAGAGAAAAAGAGCTGGGACACAGTGCCATCTTGTGGAAATTATTGATTTCCCTTTTTATAATGAAATGCAATTAGAGTCTTGAAATTCCTACTGAATTGTGGTTTGGGAAATAACTACACCTGAATTATTGAGTCCGAGGTCTCCATAAATTCAGGAGGTAAATAGCATACTGGGGTTTGATAAATAATAGCACCTGTATTTTGGAGCACCCAACGCATGTGGGGTAATGTGCTATGCATGTTATATACAAATATATATATATATATATATATATATAATTGCATTTATTTCTTATGACAATCCTGTAAGAGGTTTTATTTCCATTTTACAGTGGAGGAGACTGAGACTCAGAGTGGGTTAAGTATTGCCTAAGGCTACGTTGCCAGCTTGGGCTAATACTTTGCTTTTCTTACACAAAGTCTGTGCTTGTGCCTGAATTGCACCCAGGACTAAACGATAATGGTAGGCAGTTGCTTTTAATGCTTTGTCAAATCCCTCATCATTCCCTTTATCTTATTCACTTCCCCTAATATCCAACAAAATATTTAGTGTCTATATAGGCCTCCCTCTACTCACTTTCTACCATTCAGATTTTATAATATGTGGCT